TATCTATCACCGTGCACAAAACTTAAGTCCAAGTGGATCAAGGACCTCAACATAAATCCAGCTACTCTGAACCTGCTAGAAGAGAAAGTAGGAAGTAGTCTTGAACGCATTGGCATTGGAGACTACTTCCTAAATAGAACACCAGTAGCACAGACTCTGAGAGAAACAATCAATCAATGGGACCTTTTGAAACTGAGAAGCTTTTGTAGAGCAAAGGATACGGTCAACAAGGCAAAGCGACAGCCTACAGAATGGGAAAAGATCTTCACCAACCCCACATCTGACAGAGGACTGATATCCAGAATATATAAGGAACTCAAGAAATTAGACATCAAAATGCCCAACAGTCCAATTAAGAAATGGGCTATAGAACTAAACAGAGAATTCTCAACAGAGGAAACTCAAATGGCCGAAAGACATTTAAGGAATTGCTCATCATCCCTAATCATCAGGGAAATGCAAATCAAAACAACTCTGAGATACCACCTTACGCCTGTCAGAATGGCTAAGATCAAAAACACTGAAGACACCTTATGCTGGAGAGGATGTGGAGCTAGGGGAACTCTCCTCCACTGCTGGTGGGAATGCAAGCTTGTACAACCACTTTGGAAATCAATATGGCGCTTTCTTAGAAAATTGGGAATCAATCTCCCCCAAGATCCAGCTATACCACTCTTGGGCATATACCCAAGAAATGCTCAACCACACCATAAGAGCACTTGTTCAGCTATGTTCATATCAGCATTGTTTGTAATAGCCAGAACATGGAAACAACCCAGATGCCCTTCAACTGAAGAATGGATAAACAAAATGTGGTACATATACACAATGGAATACTACTCAGCAGAAAAAAACAATGACATCATGAGGTTTGCAGACAAATGGATGGATCTAGAAAAAATCATCCTGAGTGAGGTAACCCAGACTCAGAAAGACAAACATGGTATGTACTCACTCATAGCAGGATACTAGACATGAAACAAGGATGAATTGTCTGCTACTCACATCACCAGGGAGGCTACCCAGAAAACAGGACCCCAAGAAAGACACAGGGATCGCCCAATGACAGAGAAATGGAATGAGATCTACATGAACAGCCTGGACATGAGTGGGGGTAATGAAAGGCGAGGGTCGAGGGAAAGAGAGCTTGGGGGAGCGGGAGATCCCAGCTGGATCAACAACAGAGAGGGAGAACAAGGAATAGGAGACCATGGTAAATGAAGACCACATGAGAACAGGAAGAAGCAAAGTACTAGAGAGGCCCACAGAAATCCACAAAGATACCCACACAACAGACTGCCGGCAATGGTCGAGAGACAGCCCGAACTGACCTACTCTGGTGATGGGATGGCCAAACACCCTAATTGTTGTACTAGAAACCTCATCCAACTACTGAGGGATCTGGATGCAGAGATCCATGACTAGGCCCTGGGTGGATCTCTGGGAGTCCAATCAACGAGAATGAGGAGGGTTTATATGAGCGAGAATTGTTGAGACCAAGGTTGGATAAAGCACAGGGACAAATAGCCAAATGAATGGAAACACATGAACTATGAACCAATGGCTGAGGGGTCCACACTGGATCTGGCCCTCCGAATGGGTGAGACAGTTGATTGGCTTGATCTGTTTGGGAGGCATCCAGGCAGTGGGACCAGATCTTGTGCTCATTGCATGAGTTGGCTGTTTGAAACCTGGGGCCTATGCAGGATTGTTTGGCTTGGCCTGGGAGGAGGGGACTAGACCTACCTGGACTGAGTCTACCAGGTTGACCTCAGTCTGTGGGGAAGGCTTTGCCCTGGAGGAGATGGGAATGGGGGGGGGGGCGTTGGGGGGAAGGTGAGGGGGACGGGAGGGGGGAGAACAAGGGAATCCGTGGCTGATATGTAGAACTGAATTGTATTGCAAAATAAATTAAAATAAATTAAAAAAAAAGTTTGCATTTATGTATTACTTGTTCTTTTTCTCTTGCAGCTTTTAATATTCTTTGTTCTATATGTTTAGTGTTTTGCTTATTATGCGGTGAACATAATTTGTTTTCTGTATTGCATGTTACCTTGATATGCATCTCCTTCTTTAGGTTAGGGAAATTTTCTATGATTTTGTTGAAAATATTTTCTATGCCTTTGATCTGGGTTTCTTCTCCTTCCTCTATTCCTATTATTTTTAGATTTTGTCTTTTCATAGTGTCTCAGGTTTCTTGAATTTTATTGTGCCAAGATGTTTTTAGATTTAACATTTAAATTTTCTTTGACCAAGGTATCCATTATTTCTATCATGTCTTCAGTGTCTGAGATTCTCTCTTCCATTCTTGTATTCTGTTGGTAAGGCTTGCCTTTGTAGTACCTGTTCAAGTTCCTAAATTTTTCATTTCCAGATTTCCCTCAGTTTGGGTTTTCTTTATTGAGTGTATTTCCACTTTTGTGTTTTGGACTGTTTTATTCATTTCCTTTCACTGTTTGTTTGTTTCACAGATTTTAAAAAGATATTTATTCATTTCCTCTTTAAGGACCTCTATCATATTCACAAAGATTATTTTAAGATTTTTGTCTTGTGCTTCAGTCATGTTGCAATTCTCAGGGCCTACTGCATTTATCACCTGTTTTAAATGCTTCACAGTATTTATAGCCATCTGAAATTATTTTTTCTTTACTACATTGAGCATTTCCTCCAACAGAGTGGATACTCTGTCTCAAAGTCATCCTTTCCCAGCAACTGAAAAAGAGCCTGACACACAGTAGACACTCAACCAAAAAGAAACATGATAATCTGGGGAGATGACTCAGGTGACAAACTGTTTGGTATTCAAACATGAGACTCTGAGTCTGATTCCCATCATCCACTGTGATCCCAGTTCTTGGAAGTGGAGACATGTAGATCCCTGGAGTTTATTGGCCAGCCAGTTTAGCCAAATTGGTGATCTTCAGGTTTAGTTAGAGACCCTGTCTTAAAATATATGGCACCAGGAGGGCAATTGAGGAAGACACCCAAGGCTGTCCTCTGGCCTCTATAGTTACATGTACAAACACACATGTAAACACACACAGTTTAGAGTGAATGAAGGCAGGCATGCATGAGTGAATGACTGAGTACTTTATGAGTGAGATCTACCTGAACAAATTATTTAATAAGTGAATTTTTATTTATGGACAAACTCCTTGTAGGAAGTTAATTTATAGTAGGGATCCAGCATGAAAAAAGTAAGGTTTGATAATACATATCTCAAGGAACTTAAGTTTTTGGAAACGTGCATCAGAGTTCTTATTTTTGAGAGTCAGAAGGATTCTTATAACTTGGGAAAGAGTAACCCTTCCCTCATTTATGTGTGTATGTATATGCCCACATGTGTATGTGTGTTTTAAAAAAAAGAAGACAATCTAAGGAATTAGAACTAGCCAAATGTTTGATAAGATATTAGAAAACTTCATGAACCAGTAAATTTTGCAGCATTTAAGAAAGAAAAACAGTGTGTGGCTAGCATTATAGTCCCATGTTGAGCCATTCTGCCAGTATGCTTCTGTTTTGTGTTAAAAGTGCCATGTCATGCTGCTCCTAAGAACGTATTAGATGTAATCTATTCAAGCTTCATTAAGGCTTACATGTCCTCCAGCGTGCTTTTCCAATCAACAACCCAGCCAGAGAAAGGTTATAGCTACCGTGTCCAAGAAGACCTTCCTGCTTGTCAAAAATGTAGCAGGGATCCAATAATATTGATTACTACCCTTTAGAACTGGTAGCAGCCTGTGAGGGGGGGGGAGCGTGGGCATAGTAGTGTAGAAAACAATGGGATTACAGGGAATAAGTAGGCACAATCAAGTCAAGGAAGGGGGAAGGTATGATAATATCTTGACTCAGGGACTATTGCTCATTTATGCACAGGAAAAGATTCCATTCACATACCATATGACACTTGACAAATATAATGCATGACCTAGGCCTAGTTATGGGGCTTTTATAGCAGAGATTGCCTGGTTTAATCAATTTTTTTAATCAACTCTTTTCAAATTATAGCACTTTTAAGAGTTATTTTATTTTGTTGGTAAGTATAATTACTATCTTCTAAAAAAATACAAAAAATCTGCACTGTTAGAAGCAACACAAGGTATTGTCTAAACAATCATTAATAGTGCCAAATAGTTCCATTGGTTCACCTATGTGATCCTTATTTTGTCTGAACTCCAATTTCCACAACCATAAGATAGGAACAATAGTAATGAATTTCTAGAATATAGGACCTTGAGTTTTCTATTTGAGAGACCCTCTCCAAAACAAAGCACCTAGAAATCATGGATAAAATATAAACTCCCAAGAAAGTAAAGGAAGCCTCTAGGATCCAGAAAAGATAGAAAACAGAAATCAAAATGATAGACAAGCCTTCAAATTACTTGATGCCACTATTTGGAATGTAGAACTCTGATTCTTTAAAATAAATTTCTTACCTTTATTGTGTTTGTGTGGAGATGGTTACTGTCTTCATCGCCCACATATGGAGTTCAGAGGACAAATTGTGGGAGTCAGGTCTCCCTTTTTACAGTGTGGGATTCAGGGAACTAACTCAGGTCATCAGTCTTGGCTAGCTTCACTAGCCCCTCTGATTCTTTTTAATTTTAGAGATAGAGTCACACTATGAGGTCCTGTATGGTCTGGAACTCTCTCTGTAAATAAGTCAAATTCAAGCTATAAAATGATATATTTTAAAAGTTGGTTTAAACTTATTTTTATTGATTTATTCAATAGGCCTAAAAGTACATCAGAAACATGCCATGAAAAACCTTTTCTTTTTTTTCCTGAGGACACATTCCATATTTTATTTACATTTCAAGACTAATTTTAATCTCAAAATCACATATCCATACACCTATTTCTTTTTTGTTGACTTCACTTAAAACTTCTGATCATGTTTTATTAAACAAAGACTGTAAACAAATATTTATCATGTCTGTTACATGTAACAACTTTTAACAGAGATTCATCAATACCCCCAAACATCTTTTTATTATAAATACAGGTATCAAAACAATCCTGAAGCTATGTTTGATGCTATAGCAGTCAGCACCCACACCCTCACCGCTTCAAGAGTGAACACAATTGTGACAACTCATTATACCTGCTACTTTAAACAGTTCACTGTGGTCTAAGGACGATGGATAAAGCATGCCAGTTCTGTTCTTCCTTCTTGAGACAAAGGTTTTCACTGCCATCTGACACTCCTTTGTCATGCTTTTGTCTTGAAAACCTGAATTCAATTTTGAATACTTCAGGTTCATGTTTAAATGACAGTGCTTTAAGAAGAGAAAGAGAAACTGTGCTGCACTTCTCTTGTTATCTGAAAACATAATAGGTGTACATATATTAAATATATTCTTACAACTGTCCAGGTCATGTTTACCAGCTGGAATTCTTTTACTTAATGTGTGGGTATTTTGCATGGTGATACTTAATCAAGACATTAACATGAGTAGAAGGTTGTTGATTTAAGACAAGTTTGAGATCCACTAAAATCAGTTGTACCTCTGTCCTTCCGGTGGCTGTGGAAGCTTCATATTTTCTTTGGACATCATTAGACGTCTTAGCTCTTGGAGTACAACTTTAATGCTATAGGAATTTTGCCATTTTGCTAAAACTGGTATACTTCGTGCATCCACCATTCCACTAGAATTATTGATTCCATTCATATTAATTTTTGTTACAAATCTAACTGATGGAGGAGCTTCCGGGCATTTAGATCCACATTCTACTTTCAGGCTATATAGTCTGTTTTCATAGTTTGTCCTTGGTGGCCCAATAATCATGCCCGTCCACCTTGTAAGTGTCATGTCTTCATCATCTTCAAGGCCCCAGCTAACTGTACCATTACCTATTCCTTTCTGTCCTTCGAGTTCTTCCAACAAGCGAAAATTCCAAGGAACTTTAACTCCTGTGGAAACCGCCATCTTTTCCTGCTACCAGACGCAGCCACCACCAAAAAACCTTTTCCAATTACATTCCATAGTCACACAATCCTCTTTCTGTGGGTTATTAGATTTATTGCTTAGTTAATATGGTGAAACAAACACATACTCCATAATTCCAATGTGGCAAAGAAATAGAAAAAATACATGGAAAGGTAATGAAAATAACCAAATAAACTTGAAAAAAGGTCCAAATAACACATTTAGAAGTGAAAATATAACACTTAAAGTGAAGAACTGCAAGGACACATTACTAATATAATAAAAACATAAAACATATCCTCCTAGTGAAACTTCAGAGTAGCAGACCATAGAGCACTCCAAAATTTCAAAAACTTGCTGGGCATGGTATCATATACTGTAATCCTAGCACTCAGGAAGCTGAGACAGAAGTATTGCTATGAGTTTGAGGGCATAGTGTAAGAAAATGGTTTTTCTGTCAAAGTTAACTAGCCAACCAAGGACCCATAGTCCACTGATCTTCCCCACCTTGTCAAAATTTTATGCAAATCTTTTAACCTCCCAGACCTGGTAAAAGTTTTGGAGTCTGGTAGCAAGACAAATTGTTTTTAGACCTGGCCTTAGGAAGTGAGGCCAGTGGCCTCAGTTTTATTTATGAAGAAAATTGATATATAAGAAAATAAATGATAAATAATGTGCAAGTTAGGATATGTCCAATTGGACTTAGGGTAGTCTAAATTTCTTACACTGTTGATGAAGAAAAGGTAATAAATAACATTATATATTTTTCTGTTGAAATAAGGATTGAATTTCGAGTCTTGGACATGTTAGGCAAGTGTTCAGCCACTGAATTACATCCCAGCCCATACAATTATTTTTTAAGGGCCAGTGAGATAGGTCAGCAGCCAAAGGCACTTCCTGCTAAGACTGAGGACATGAGTTCAATCCATGAGGCCCACAAGGTATAGGGAAGGAACTGATACTCACAAGTGGTACTCTGACAACTACAATAGAATGTGCCCCCTAGATGAAGAGATATAATAATTAAAAAATTCTATTTTAAGTTCAATATGTATATATGCCATGATTCTGAGTTACTTCCTCATTGTAGAAATAATATGCATGATACCAGAACAAAGGAGAGAAAATATATTTACCCCTGAAATAGGCAAGAAAGGACAATAAAGAAGCATGTGTCCACGTGAGAAAATGAGAATGCATAAAATAAGAGAGCAAAATTCCCAATGCCCCATTGATCAATTAAGTGTCAGAAATTGTGAAATGAAGAAAACAAAATCCAAGTTTGTGCTATGCACCAGTGATGTACAGTGTCTCTCAGAAAGATTGAAGATGAAAGCTTAGGAAAAGATATTTTGATTCCAAGTGTTAGCCAATAGAAATGTTGTGCAGTTACAGTAATGTAAGGCAAAAATAGATTATATGAGGTGACAGAGATAGCTCGCCATTAAATCTGTCTTTTATGTAGAGCTAGGGGTGTGTGTGTCTGACCGATCAAGAATTAAATTTCCAAATGTCCTTCAATGACTCATGTTAATGGCTTGATCCTCAGCCTGTGGTGCTTTTGTTCTGGAGGGGTAGAACTTTTAGGTCAGTGGAGGGAAGAGGAGAGAGGAGGAGAGGAGAGGAAGAAAGAGAGAAGAAAAAGAAGGAAGGAAGGATAAATAAGTAAGTAAGTAAGTAAGTAAGTAAGTAAGTAAGTAAGTAAGTAAGTAAGTAAATAAATAAATAAATAAATAAATAAGATAGTGAGTCTTGGCCTGGGGATGTAGCTCAATTGGCAGAGCATATACCTGGCATGCCCTGGGTTCAGGGCTCAGTACCCGCCACCACATAAATTGTAAGTGGTGGCACAAGTTTGTAATCCCAGATATCAGGAGGTGGAGGAAGGAGGTCTCAAGTTCAAGATCATTCTTGGCTACATAGTGAATTTGAGGTCAGCTTGGGCTACAGTGAGACTCTACCCCGCTCCCCTGCAAAGGAAATAAATAAAAATGAAAGCAATAACCCAAGTACAATGTTTGTCTTCATTGCAATCTATCCTTAGGAAATTGTTTAGGACATTCAAGATCCAAACTGTGCATCTTGCAAAATGGGGAATAATATAAAATATAAAATACATTATTGAGTAAAAATTGGACCCCCAAACCTGGTATCAACAATGGATCTTTAAAATGACTTCTGAGGCAGTAAAATTTTGTAGGACTGTGTTTCCTTTCTTTAGAAAGCATTTATAAGTAAGCTTTAAAAAGAGCCTGGTACCTTTTAAACTTAAGGGATCCTACAGAATTGTTCCCATAGATGTAATTTTTAGGTTGTTTAGTAATTGCTGCTGGCTCATTTGCTTGTGGTCCCTGGATTTTGCATTTTCTCCTGTGATTATTGTTGTCTTGGTGATTAGCAATCTTTTACACTGTCAGCTGGATTTTGTGTGCTTTCTTTTTCCATCCTACAGGGCAATTATAACTCATCTTTGGAAGGATCGTAAGGGTGGAAACCAGGGCAGTGAGAAGGGATACGATTCTTTTCTATAGTTTAATTCCTTTTCATTTTGTTGGCTAGCTGTATCTTTCATAAATAGGTTGGAGAAAATTAAAGTCTTAAGGTGTAATGTATTTCTCTGGCACATTCTATTTACCAAGCTAAAATATGCTATCTAGATGGTGCACATTCATTGACAATAATTGAGATCGGGTTCTATAATAGAAAATTCTATTCACAATTGAATAAATGTACACATTGTATTTTCATTTTTAAGAGAGAAACTATTTTAAAATACACCATTAAAAGAAGAATTGTTTAAAAATGAAATGACATTACCTGTCTCCTTATCTAAATAAGCAAAATTTAATTTCATAGTGCTAACATTATTATAGTTTTGCAGTGGCAATAATAATAGTGGACAAAGAGCTGAGTTTTTCAACTCACTTTCTCTTGCCTCCTCCTGTTTTCTTTCTTTTTGAAAATTTCTGTGCTTTTGAGACAGAGTCTCATGTAGCTCAGACTTGGCCTCAAACTCATTACGTAGCCAAGGATAATCTTGTGTCCTGCCTCTACTTCCCAAATGCTAGGATTACAGGAATGTACCACCATGCTCCATTTATATGGAGTTGGTGATGGAAACCAGGGCTTCCTGTATACTAGGCAAATACTTTACAAATGGAGCAACATCTCCAGTCCTAAAGTAAATCTAGCTAACATTGTTATGTGTGTGTACACTATGCTAGGAATTGAACCTAGGGCCTTACGTATTCTAGGTACATGTTTAGCCATTGAGCCATATCCCCAGCTACAAGTTTCTTAGTGAAAACTGTGACATAGGTAATTTTTCTGTGTAGCATTAGCAGGCCTTTAGTTTGCAAACCATTGATTCTGCCTCCATAATGCCTGTTTCTTTTGTCTTTTTTTAACATTTATTTTTAATTATGCGTACGAGTGTATGTCTGTGTGAGTGTATGCCGTCTGTGTTTGTATGCTAGCAGAGACCAGAAAAGGGTATCAAATCCCCTGGAGCCAGAGATACAGGCCATTTTGAGCTACCCATCATGGGTTCTGGGAACCAAACTCAGGTTCTCTGCAAGAGTAGTATGCATTCTTAACTACTGAACCATCTTTCCAGTCCTTATCCAAGCTTTTTAGGGGAAAGTGTGACATAAGGTAATTTCTGGGCAGTTATTAGGTATAAGTCTCTATGGATACACCTTCTTTCTAGGTCAGTTCCATTTAAAAGTCATACTGGCATTGAAGTATAGACAGTTTGTAATACTATCATTTTGTCTCAGTCTCTCTAGGTTGCTCTGAACAAGTACAAGTCTCCAGTCAACTGATTTCTGGGTGTGACTGATCCTACTAGCAATGTTTCCTTGCATAATGTCTGTTGGTCAGGAAATAAGTACATTGATAATGAGTAATGTTTACTTATGGTCAATGTTTATGAATGAACTTAACCAAAAGGGTTATATAATATAGTTGAATTAAATCAATTGTTGCCTATTGTAAGGCAGAGTTAGAACCTCAAAATTAGTACAATTGCAATTAATTAATTAATTAATTAGGAATTTTGAGACTGTGTCTCATATTATAGCCTAGGCTGGCATGGAACACATGGCAGTCTATCTGCCTTAGCCTTTCAAGTGCTGGGTATAGTAAGTGTGAGCCATCATGGCTGGCTTTTATGTTGTTTTTTTATTTCTACTTTTTATTTCTACAAACTATTAAAATAGTTTGAATTTACAGATGAGTCTCAGAAAATTCAATACAAGGGGGTTGGGGAGAAAATTCAATGAATAAAGCACTTTCTGTACAAGCATGAGGACCTGAGTTTGGACCCCGGCATCCATGTAAGGCTGGATGTGATAGTGAATGCCATATAATCCCAGCACTCCAATGGCAGGATGGGATGCAGACACAGGGGAATGCATAGAAGCCCCTGGGCTAGCCATCCTGGTATAAACAGTAGCAAATAATAAGAGACCCTGGCTCACATAAGGCAGAAGGTGAAGACTGACACTTGAGGTTATCCTCTTGTTACTACATGTCTGCACACACACACACACACACACACACACACACACACACACACACAATTTAAAAAAAGATGTAGAAAATATAGTACAAGATCTTAAGTAAATCATTACCCAGGTTTACCAGTTAGTAACATTTTACTTATAGTTCTTTTTAAAATGACCTCTAAAGCAGTAAAGACCTCTCTCCTCTCCTCTCCTCCCCTCCTCTCCTCTTTTCTTGTCTCTTCCTCTCTCTTCTCATCCTTTACCCTCCCTTCTATCTTCTCGTCTTCCAGCTCTATCTTTGAGGTGAGGCCTTATATAGTTCAGGGTGGTCCAGAATTCACTACGTAATTGAGGATGTACTTGAATTCCTGATTTTCCTGCTTCCACCTCTCAAGTGTTGCAATTATCAAATTCAGAAAATGTAATAGTGATATAATGTTGTGATCTAGTATATAGTCTGAAGTCAACATTTACTAGCTGAGCCAGGATCTA